TCAGACCTTAATGAGTAGCTAAAAACCTCAGATAGATTATTTTTATACTGCTAACCACCATGATTCATCCATTTCTACGCTCCAGGGAGAAAAACAGGAAGGAAACACTTAGTAAGTCCTCGATTTCATTTAACATTGGTAATGAGCGTCAAGCAAGCTGTGGGAAGCAGAAAAAAACCAACCTCATTCCAGTTGGAGCGGCATTTAATAAACCTAAGCGACTCTGGAAAAATAAAGATATGCTCAGGAGGTGGGTGGCACATGGAAGGATTAATTTGTGTTAATTAGGAGTTGCGGAGGAGGAATATTTTGAAGGGGAGGGGGGCAGTTTCAGAATTTCAGCGAACAATGTGATAAATACTAATTAGCCAATTATTTCTCCATAGTGGCAAGCAGCTTTCAAAGTCATTTCTTCTTCTGCAACTGTCACACCTCCTGTTAAATGGCTAAAATGCGCCCCACGCAAGCTCCAGCCATAACTATTCTGGCAGGACCAGTTTGCCTCTCAGCAGTAGCAATCCTTTTATCTTACATTTGATAAGGGCAAAGGAAGAAAGGATAGAGGCTCTTCCAGAGAATCAGGGTTATCTAAATTAGACATTAAACAGAGCAAGTGTGAGAGTCTAACTTGCAGAGGGAAAAGCTCAACACGCTTATGAGAAAGACTAGAAACAGAAACTATTGCCAACGTCCCAGCTCAAGATTAATTATGTCATAAGGCTGCTTATATACAGACTGTCATCCTTTTATTTGCCCTAAGCATAGAAGTCTTAAAACTTCAAGTACTTTCAGAAAGCCCAGCATTCAACGATTCCCGTTATTAAAAAAAACCAAAAACAAAACCAACAAAACAAAACAAAATAAACTAAGTCCTAATTATTAGGAGGGAGAAGAGAGGGAGGGAAAGAGAGAGGTACGCACAGAAGACAGTGATTAGTATCATCTTATTAGGGCTACTTTGGTAACACCAAACATGAACTAACCTGGAGAACCATACTCATGTCTTGGTAACCTACAGATCTTAGGCATCACTTCCATTAGGGTCTTGACATACTGAAGAATTGTCCCTTGTAACTAAGAGAAAACAGATGTGTGGAAACATGTCAGTGTTACTGAACTAAGAAACTTTACAACAAATGGCATTCAAACTACACCTGAACTGAACAAGCTCTAAAAATCTTGCATTTAATTCTGTCAGTCATCATCTTCAAAAAGGCAACTTTCTCAAATGTTGCACTTTCCTTCAAAAGGTATTAGCCACCTTTTGCTACAGGAAGAGTGGCACGACAGCTGAGGCCACGAAGGCAGAAAAGATGAAATCATGTTCTTCTCTTGCAGACTTTCTCTATTGTATAACCAACTTACAGATTTTTTGTAAAAACATCACATTTGAATGCTTTCAAAAGCAACAACAGAAAAATCCTTAGCATTAGGTATGTCTGTAACAGCTCAACTGGCTACTCCAGACACACCAGTTCAGACACAGTCCCAGCCTATAGTGCATACCAGTTAAGACACAGCCCATACTATCCTGCAGTCAGTCTGCCTTCCTCCCACTAGACACCTATGTCATACCTGTCTCTCTACATCTGAGCACCCGCATCAGGCATCAGCAGGATACCTCCCTCCAGGCTTTTTAACCCCCTTAATAAATGCCCAAGTGTTCAATGAGACCTTCAATGAATTGAGACAACTAGATGATCTCTATGGTCCCTTCCAACTCTAAAAAATTCAGTGAAATTCAGTGAAATTTACCACTTAAATAAATAATAATAATAAAAAAAAACCTCCAAAAAAACCCCACAAACCAACACTTGACGCCAAAGCATGAAAAATACCCGTTTTCCTCTTTCCCTGAAGATTAGATGACAACACATCTTCAAGTGGGCTCTAGCCTTTTTAGAACTTCAAAAATGTACTTAGAACATTGTGGGAATTACTGTAAACAAACTGCTGAATGCGCCAAGTGTCTGAAGTGAGATTATGACTACTACAGCTATCCCCCTGTCCAGCTGGATTATTTTGGCAGCATGCTCCTTACAGGCAGCAGGGACCGGGAGGAAAAGACCATTTCTTTGGCTTAAACTTTACTGCAATGCCTTATGCCTGCATACATAGAGAGTAACAACAAACAAACAGGCAGCCCCTCAACCTCCTCCTAGTTACAGAAAAGGCCTTCCCAGGCTCTATGGATAACTTCTTCAACATCTGGTCTGAGCGCTCTTCTAAATAGGCTTGATGCTACCCATTGCTACATCAAGCACAGAGATTAAGCCTCCCTTGTTATTAAGGCATCATCTGTCAATGATGTTATTAATGAAAGCCCTGAAGTTAGGCAAGGCAGATAGCACACTCCAGCTGTTCTCAAAAAAATATTGAAAAAGTGTATTTACAGTACAATCTTTAACTTGAAATCAACTAATCTGAAACATTCATACTTTTCCAGAGTTTACCCACGACCTAAAAGCATAGGTATCCACAAATTAAATTCATGCAGAATCCAAGGTTTTCAAAACACTGCTCAGGCTACCAAGGCACATCATCTATTGCTTTCACAGGACACTGCGTACTCTCAAACACAGCTTATATTGAACTTCAAAGAAGTCACATTTTAATTAGTTTTATCTGAGGTCTTACTTTCACTTTGTTTTTCTTGAGACATTTCTTATCAGAAGAATAGCAGAAAAATGAAAGACAATTGGCATACCAGGCTCTTGACAACTTTCAGCAACTCCTCCATCACAACAGCAATACCCTGATACCCAAGTAGTCTACAGATGACTTTAAAGTGAGGGGGACCAACAAAATTCCTGTAGTTGCTGTAGATGCTGGAATATGCCAGATTCAACGCCTAAAATGAGATAAAACATATGATTAATGACGATTTCAGCTGACTGCACCTTTATAATAATCTCATTTAAACAGCATTTTAAAGAATATTAAAAATAAAATAATAACTTTGTATGTCTCTCTCTCCAGAAAATTAAAATACAAAGCTTCCTCTTTTTGAGGCAGGAATTCCAACCAAAATCTCTGTATGAGCAAGAAAAATTTGTAAACACTGTTGTTTTCACCAGACATCTTCCACTTACCATTTATAAAGCCATGAACATTTCCAGTCTCATATTCTTCTACTTACACAGGTATAAAAGGATAAGAATAGTCAATGCCAATGTTCAGATTCCTGAATTTAAAGGACAGGTTCTATTCCTATAATGTCCATTCTACATAGAAAACATCCTGAAAGAAGTTACTTCAATTTTCAGTTCAAATAGGTGTTTTAAGACTCTAAGGACTCAACTACAAAGAGCCAGCCTTCTGCAGTTACTGCTCTCTGCAACTAATTAATAAGGATCTCTCTTTTTCAAACCCATTAGCTGTACACAAGATCAAAGCAAATCTAAGTCTGAGATGCAACCTCACGGAAATCATTCCAGAGTTGTATAAATAGGATCAGGTGCTTTGCCATATTAACAACCATTTCTTCTGAACACAACGGTACAGACTGATGCTGTGTAGGGATTTAGGAACTATTTGCCTAAGCTGAGGATCAAAGAGGGGCTAGCTAACTTAACATCCTGCATTCCTGTGTGTTCTTCTAATATCCTGAAATTTAATTTTAAGAGGGAACCTTGCCAACCTTTCTTGCAGAAGGTTCTGTTGTGTTTCCTTTTCTTTTCTGCAGTTTTCATTCTCTCTAATACATGCATGAAAGACATACTGTTGAAATGCATATGCATGAAATACTGTTAGACTTTCAATGTCACACACGTCAGCCATAACAGAAAATTTTCCTTCACCAGTGTCCAAGAAGAACATTGAGCTTCCCTCCAGTGCAGATCCTGCCCCAATTATCCATGGAAAGCAATACCAGATACTGTAATACATGGTGTTGCACAAAGAAACTACTAGGAATTCAAGTCTTGAAACCCGTGTCAAGCTCTTGGAGGATTTTAGTCTCATAAAAGAAAAGGACCTACAAATCATCTTTAGAAAAGATTGGGATAGAAGATACACATCCACTTTCCAACATGTTTTGAACTGTGATCTTAGAAATTTAAAAATTTGATTCTAAACTGATATATAATGACTGCATAGATACTTGGCTAATGATTAGACTTCTAATAAGGCAGCACAGCTCTGCCATTAGGTTGGAGGTGGCTACAGGGCTAAACTCCACACACACTCCACCGGGCAGCCAGCCTGGAGCTGCACCCCGCTAGTACAAGGTGTGCGTAGCTCTCTGCTTACAGAAAGGGGGTCTGGGGCATGGACAGGGGAAAGAACTGGTAAAACCTTATGAAAACACCTGCAGACAAACATCCCCATACACAAAACATATATACAGTTATCCCTAAAAAGGTGAGATTTCACCTTTCACTTTGGGTATTTTCAATCACGTATGTCTCAACCATAAATGTGTCCAAACTATCTATTTCAGCAACAGTGCAAGGAGAATCTTGCTTCAGCAGGTTATAGCATTTTACTGCCGTGAGGTGAATGGGAGGGAACTCCTCTTCACAAACCAGGAATTTGTCATAGAAAAGCAAGCCCTAAAAAACATGATTTCAGTATTAAAAACCTCACCAGTACGTAACAGTAAGAAGTCAGCCAATCTAAAAATATATCTTTAGCGTAACCCCCATGGGGAAGTACCTAAAGTGGTCCACCTGTAAATGCTGGATTAAGGAAGCTTTATAAAGGGATTTAGAAAACACCATCACACGCCACCGCCGCTTCCCCTCCATGATGCACAAAAGCATAAAAATCCTTTGGGAAGAAGCCACTAACCAAGTCAGCGGGGGGAGGAAGGGAAGGAAAGAGAGAGAGAGCTTTTTTTTTTTTTTTTTTTTTTTTTTTTACACACTATGCTTGCTCCCTCCCCTACTTAAATAAAAAAAAGGGAGAGAGAGAGAGTTGTTAGTTGCTGATGTCATCAAAGTGCTAACATTAATCACTCACAGCATCACTGGTACAGGCACCAGAGCATATAACAGGGATGTCCAGGCAGTACACTGTCCAAGGAGAGGGAAGCAAGAGAAGGGCAAAAAAGACATTATTTTTTCTCCTGTATGTTCTTTGAAGAGCAAGGCAATAGCACCTTTAGACGAGATGTGCTCTTGCATTAATTTAAGAGACAAAGAAACCATGCCACCAGCAGCATCGGAGTTAAAAACCGAAAGCACCAAGCAATGAGAATTCAGTCCAGGGAATCTGAGGGAAAGAAAAAATAAACTGGCAAGGAGAGATCAGGTAGCAAATAACTCATGCGAAAAAGGACGCAGAAAATTGAGTGTTTATGTCATTTTCGCAGCAGCGTCACCATATGAAAATTCTGTTCTGAAATTTCCGTCAGGAAGTGACGGTAAGTACTGACTTTATGATTTATAAAACATCAAATGGGTTTTCCAAACATTTACATGTCAGTAATTATGTCTTCTAATAACTGATGTTTTGTAACAACAGAAATGTATTATTGTTATTCAATTAAAATCTGAACGTTCTACTTACAAAATGCTATGGGGATGAAACTATTGTGTCTAGACTGTTAGGAAGTGCTCTATAAAAAATAAAGTATAATTTTAAGTAATTAGGATCTACTAGCTAAAGAGAAGACAACTGAGGAAGTAAAATCTCTGATTTTACTAATGTGCCTAATTTAGTATCTGCAGAAGTTGGTTAGATGCCAAAATGTGTCTGTCTAATAAGTTTATTTCACAGCAAACTCAATTCCTTTATACTGTTGCTGTATCAAAAAGGGTGCACTTAACACACAATTAGAATGGCAGCATCTACTCAGATCAGTCATATCTAAGGTTTTACATCGTAATGAAAATAAACATAGATCTTTTTCTTCCCACTTCCCAGTAAATAGAACCCAAAAGCCTTGAGCAACAATTTTCACACATAAACAGACATAGAATTCTTACTATTAATGTAATGTAACTACCAAAATTGCACTAAAAATAATATATATTTTGCCAGCCTCCTATCTAGTATGAAGTACAATAAAAGTATTACAGAATAATTTCAGAATATGTTACGAGCAAATCTAAGCTTCCTTCATCAGGAGAATTTTCAATAGTCAATTGTTATTTAGCCAGGAGACTTAACATATAAAACTTGATCATAAAAAAAGTTTTAATGAAGTCATAAACAATGAAATACAATGTTACTGTCATGTGCATTTATGTCCATTAAAAAATTAAGAAGTGGAAAAAACTTTCCCAGGAGTGCCAATGGAAAGTGACTACTAAACTGGTGAGGGAGGTTCTTTCTCAAAAGTTACCCTCACAACAGTAAAAGCAAAAATACCTGCGAAACAAAATAAAACGTACACTGTCTGTTATTAAGGCTTCTTTTTTTATAAAATAATTATTTTAATTAAAAGTCTACCAAGACAGAAGCCAGCTTCTTGTCCTGAAAGCAAGACATTATTTAGCAGAAGCATTAAAAAAATGCAGAAAATAGATGTTTTATTTATGCTCTTTACAATGGTAACATAAACTTAGAATCTCAAAATATTGGCAGGTTTCCTAACCTTATGAGGAGTATCAGTTCAGGGTAGACAGACTATGGAATTACATACAATCAGCACAGAAAAGAGTATTAGTTTGGTTTTTTTTTACATAAACACTGTCTATCCAAAGGGTATGCTATAGTGAAAGCTGTACTTCACCAACTAAGCCCAGCTTGAGAAAGCATCTCCAAGAGGCTGACTAGCATCAAGACTATATATATTGTGTACAATTATCACAGCTGCTGCTGTAGCAGTGGCTACAGGTGTAGCTACCTCACCAGCAAAAAACGGACTCTATCTACAAGTAAGAAGCTAATGTAAAATGATATTGGAGACACAACAATACCTGGTGATGTTTCTACATACCATTTTGTTTTTCAATTGAGTGTGACAGACAAAAATCAAGACTTGTGGATGGCCAGAGGAATTTATCCCTTAAGATCCACTCCTGCCACCCCACACTTGCCGCTTAAGAAAATTCACTGCTCACAAAAGCCAGCTTTGAGATTACAGAAGTAAACAATAAAAAATAAATAAATAAAATAAAATACAATTCTCTCAGACTAGAGAGAAAAGTAAATGCTGCATTTCTTTTCCTTAAAAAACAAACAAATAAATCCAAACCCCACCTACAAACAAACTCATTAGGCGAGTATTTTGTGTGACACATAAAGAGTTAATTAGTTGGATAGTCAATCTGTCAGTCTTTAGTTTAATGCCAGACAGCAGTTCAATTCAGTTTAGATTTCAATGACATTTTTTTTATGAGTTTGACTCATAACATAAAATTATGCTAAATGTTAAGGTTTTTTTCCTATTAGAAATGTTTGTCCTATTAAAAAGAAAACTCCAGCGTTGCTCCAAAGAACAGAGGCATTTATTAATGCATTTGTTTGAACTTCTGATCATTTAAACTCCTGTGGGAGCGGTACATATTTCAGAAGTACAAAGCATATTCACCACTCTTCTCTATAATCTTGAAGAGATTTTGTTTCCCTTAATGTTACCTAACTACAGATTCCTTGAGACACAAATGTCCAGTGACCTTATTCTAGGGACTGTCCCAAACATGTAGGTAGTGTTTATACCAAAGTTGACATGAAGGCAAAGTTTGAACAGGATGCTGAAGGCCAGCATCGCCTCGTTCCCTGTTGCACAGTCATCTGAAAAAATCCTGTGAATGGAAGTGGTTCCTCAATTGCAAATTTGGCAACACACACCATCTCATGGAGACAAGATCCAACTATCTGGGACTGTTTAGTATGAGGAAGAGGAGGCTGAGGGGAGACCTCATCACTCTCTACAACTTCGTGAAAGGACACTGTAGAGAGGTTGGTGCTGGTGTCTTCTCACAGGTAATTAGTGACAGAACGAGAGGGAATGGCTTCAAGCTCCAACAGGGTAGGTTTAGATTGAACATTAGGAAAGAATTTTTCACCGAAAGAGTGATAGAGCATTGGAACAGGCTGCCCAGGGAGGGGGTGGAGTCACCATCCCTGGCTGTGTTTAAGGGCCGTTTAGATGCAGTGCTAAGGGACATGGTGTAGGGGAGGACTTTGTAGAGTAGGGTAGATGGTTGGACTCGATGATCCCAAGGGTCTCTGCCAACCTAGACGATTCTATCATTCTATCTAGATCTAGACAAGCTCTATAAGCATATATCCAGCCTTTCACTTGGGGAAAAAAGTACACTGTTTAAAACACTCCAAACTTTATGAACTGCCAACTCTGACTTTGACGCAGCAGTAAGAACAATAAGAGCATAGTTTCCTAACAAAAATCCTTTCCTAAATTACAGAGCACTACGATTAAGACCCACACAACACCTCCAGTGCTGCAACTTCTCAGTTACCTCCCTGGGAAACAAACGTCTCCCCGTTCCACAGTGAGATCTGCATCAAGAGAGAAAAAAACCTACCTAAGCAACATCCTGATGGGAATAACCGTTCAAAACATCACCGGAAGCACGGCAATGGTAATTTGGCCCAAAATGGCCAGTTGTGTCGACACCTTTTACAGCGTCATGTACCACCCTAACTGGAACAGCATGCTATCCAGCTACTCGAGAAAGAGCTTTCAGAAGGAAGAGAGGGTGCCCACCACTCGCTCCTCCTTTGTTGTTGAAAACCTGGCTCCTCTGACGACGTACATCGTGTGCGTGACCTGCCAGTCCGCCAACCCCTCCAGTGACCAGTGCAGAGTCTTCAACACGCTGGAACAAGACCCGGCATCCGCCAGCAACACCAAGAAAGACCTTGCCCTGGGCATCTGGCTCACCAGCAGCGTCCTGCTCCTCATCATCGCCGCCATCCTCCTCTATGGCTGCCTGCACCTCCTGTGCCGCAGGAGACGCGAGCGTTTGCAAGGGCGAAACGGGACCTCCGAACAAGACCATGGGATGGCGTGGACCAAAAGCATGGCGTGCACCTCAGAGGAGCTCGGCAGGCAGAGCCAACTGATGCAGGACGCCGAGGAAAAGCATCCAGGTGGCATCCAGCTGGCCACAATCATAGAGAATCCCTCAGCATGCAAGGAGCCTGTCATGACAACTTCCAAAAGTCGGGAACGAGTGCCAACGACAGGACAGTGTTCTGCTCTAAACTAGAAACCTTTTGTCAGGGAGGACTTTTTTACTCCATATGACATCCCAACTGCTCCAACTGCATTGCATGCGCTGTTGGAGCTCACCACAGCGCTCCTGGCTGTACCTCCAGTGTCACATCCCTTTCCAACAGCCCATACACAGCCAGAGGTACTCAGAGGCAAAGGTTCACATTCCTAGATGATAACTTCAACCACACTCCGTTACTTAAAAATGAAGCATGTAGCAAATAATCCAGTCACATTTTGAGGGGATTTTTTTTGGTTACTTTTCTCTAGCCTAATACAGCAAACAAATATAAAAATGCATAAAAAGTGAGCAAGACACTTTTTTTTTTACTAGCGTAAATCAAAACTGAGTAGAAATTTTCAGAGGCAACCCAAACCGCTGCACTACAGGCAACTGGAACTTACACCCCGAGTGCAGAGGTTTCCCAGTGTGAGTTTTGCCCCCAAAATCCCAACCGCTTCTTCAAATCACACACTGCAAACTCCTACACTCAGACTACACACTTTGCCGACCACGGCGCTCACCAAAGCTCCCATCCAAATTTTAATGGTATCCTTTCACCCAACTTTGAAATTCAGTCTAAAAACACATGCAAGACAGCAACTCTGTAAGGATACTTATAACAAAACTAAGAAAATATCCTGGGTTATCGTACTTTGCACTCTCCTCGACCCACCACCTTCTGCTTCCACCACAAGCCATCGGGCGAGTGATTCCCTGTAGAGGAAACGGGATTTCAGAGAAGCAACTCCTGGCCCTTCCTTCTCTTTTTCCCTTTCAGTTTTAATAATAAAACTCATCCACCAGCTGCAAATTTCTATCCAACTGCAGAGTGTGTTTTGTGTAATGAAGGGGGCAAGGAATTAAAAACAGGTCAAAACACATTTTATTTTTGTGACGATCAAATCTGCCAATCATCTCACTCTGCCTTGAGCTTCATGGCAAAGTCCCAAGAAAGGCCCTTTGGACAGAAATCTGTTCACCCTCACAACACAATGCATCTCATCTGGCTTCCATGTATAAGTCACCCTGTTTTAAATCTCTGAAGTGCATTTCTGTTCCATAAAAACACAATAAATGTTAGTAACTCTGTACGGTATGGTATGTCCGAAAAAACAATGATACACTGTGACTGCAGGTATTTTAAACTGCTATTGATAGGAATGTACGTGTAAAGCCAGCTCTTGCTGACACCCTTTGGTTTGTACCAGTAAAGGCTGGGGAACTGCTGGCTGGGCAGCTGCCATCCCTTTCCACCGTACCCTGGAAGCCGGGAGGGTGTACGGTTCTGGCAAGAGAGCCCCCGCCGAATATTTCACAGCAGGCTGTGGGTCTTTTCAGCTACTGTATTTTGACAACATTTCCCACAACGTGTGAAAGACGTCAACTCTCATCTTGCTGGGAAGACAGGAATTGGCATAAGTTTGGTGCGTCGTCTTTACTCTTTTCCTGCTAAAATAGGTACGACACAGCAACACGTGCTGAGCGGGGGCGAGTATTACTTTTAGAAGACACTTCAAAAGGCGTCTTTTTGTGGTAAGTTAGGAATAACGTGTCCCCCACCCCCCTACGTAGCACTTCCTCCAGCTGACACAGGTTTTTCTTTGTCTTGCACACCAGCCTAAAATAAACTGTGAAGACGACAACAGCTTACTGCTGTTTCAAATGAAGGTGTTTCATGAAACAGACACTGGAAAACTCGCTTCAGAGCATGATGCCAACATGACAGGTTTACTGCCAAAAAGGGGTGGCTAGGTAGTGGGGACAGAAAAAAGCTGCTTTAAAATGACAATAATCAAACTGACAGCAACATTTCCCTGACTAGGATTTCATCAAAGAGAGGAAAGATTATTTTAATGTTAAAGGGATGGAGCCAGGAGACTTATATTCTTATCTCTGCCAACATCCTGAGTCCTTGAAAACCTGTTCACTTCTTTGCATCTCTGTTTCCTTATGTGGGTTTTGAGGCAGTCCAATACATATATTTACAGGCATTTATGTGTTATACACACATGTATATGCCATACTGAGAACAAGGAGTAGTTCAGCCTTAAAGCAGTTTTGTGGCAATTCACTTACTGCATTTTGTTATTTACACACAAACACATATACACAAAAAGACACATGTATACATCAGATTGAGAAGGCAAGGAGCTACCATGGAAGAGCTCCCACGAATGGGATTTACCTCATCTAAACATAAAACCATTCCACCCAAGGAGTTTACTGTGCACTACTTAAACATTTACATCACCTCATGAGCAATGGACCATCTCACACCCGCTGCAAATGAGCCATGCATAAGGAGTGACACCTGAAGTTATCACTAGTTATGAAGGACTCACGTCATCATACGCTCACAGAGCTGCACGATTCTTTGTCTCTTGCTCAGACAGTTTTATTACAGATTCATTCAGGTTCACCCTGGAAATTCTGTGTCCTGGCAGTTCACTGTCCAGTTTAAAGAGTGCTCCAGTAAGGAGCAAATATTCTAAGTGATTACTAAACTGACAAGATGCACATAGTGCAAACTGATGTTAATTTGTGCACCAGCAGGAGGTAAAAACCATTAGATTCGCATTGAGAAGTATTTTCCTTAGCATCTACAAAATGCAGAAGACATACAAACATGAAAATCTTCGGAAAATGTACAAGTCAGAAAGGAAGCCCTTAAATTCTGGTCTACACAGCCTCTATAAAACCAGGTACTTCATTAACACCCAGTTAGTTTAAAATCCCCAGAAGACACTCTATTATCTACATTATTAAATATTTTATGCACCCAGCCCATGTTGCAAATTTAAATCTACTAACATTCATTTTATTAATTCTACACACATTTCACCTGAATAAAGAGATTTCAGTGACCATGCTCAATGAGCTTTTAAAATACATCCGGTCACTTAAAAGGCTGACGAGCTTTTGCAGGCTGGCTCCTTCCCTCCTGACAGCTCTGCCCCCATATCACCCAGGAGAGGGTTTCTGTTTTGCTAATTAGATGAAGATACCACTCAGAAAACCTCAGATACAACAGAGAACGTGAACACAACTGCCTATGCTAAGCATCAATGCACATTAATACAGACCAAATGCTTTGATCCATTTAGAAATATCTGAGAATACGTGAACGCTTTGAGATCAAAACTAAAAATTTCTCTAATTATTCTTAAGCAAGCACACTGCTTTTGCAAAGCTACTGCACAGAAAGTGTTTAGCCATTACAGTCCAACGCATACATGTATGAGTGTACATATGCACAAGACACTGCAATGCTTTTGTCTTGACCTAAATAAACATCATGGATTGCTAAGAAAAACAAAAAACCCCCACCCACCACCAAAAAAACCCAAACCCAACCAACAGCAAAAAAGACCAATAAGGAAAATACAAAGTCATATTGCTTGGGTATATGATCGATATGAATTGCTCACCTGAATATCTTTAATAGTTCAAGAACTCAAAAAAGACAATAAAATAAAAAATTTATAGCTACTCCATAGCCCACTATTATCCAGTCAGGAGGCAATTCAACAATATAACCATTAAAGGAACCAAAAAAGGGTTTTCTCTATGACAAGCCTAGCTATAGAGCACACAGAACAATATCATACAAATATATCACATGCTAGAATGTGTAACCTCTAGCATATAAGAATTACTTGATACATACAGTAGAAATGTCCTCCTAAAATTCCATTCAGATATTCTCAATTCCAAAATACACTAGATTCAACAATAGAAATACAGTCTTGTAAAAATTTAAAACTACAGAGAGCCAAGAATATCTGCTAATATAGACATATCTAGTCATGAAACTTGCTTCAGAAATGCATCTAAGAACCCCCTTGATTGCCTCTGCTCATATAGAAAAATTAAACAGATTTCTGAAATGTATAGCTCTCAGAGTAAAGGTTATTAAAGTCATTTTAATAATGTAACCTGACTGATAAAAAAAGGGTTCCTCAGTTAATCCCCACTGCATCATCACTTAGATAAATTAAGTTAGCAATCTCTACTAAATTCAGTGGGGTTTTTGCTCTTTACGCTGCATCTGGTGAATTCCTAAAATAGTAAGGAACACTATAACTCTAATGTAAGAAAATCCCACTTCCTATAATTTACTGTTCCCTGCTGGAGAGCAATTATATAAAACACTATTCGCAGTACCAGACAATCAGCTGTTACATTACCCATTAAAGACATGTGAATTCTTTTCTGTCTCCTTTACATTTTAAAAGCATGAAAGTTTTACAAATACTGCAGATGTATTAGGAATGAAATTTGTAATTTCTGAGCTATCTCTTCAGCTCTCAAAAATTAGCTTGCTAGGCAAATCACTTCACAGAGACTACACCATATAGCTAGGGTACGATGTGCAGAAAATAACAGTAAGACAAGGACTAATTATGTTCACATTTGAGTGAGAGCTAGATAATAAAAGTATGTAGACATGAAAATGACATTTACAGTGCACTTGTACAAATTACAAGGATAACTGAGTACATGATTTTAAAACTTTTTTTTAGTCAACAATCCTCTAACTTCATCCTTATATTGTTATTGATCTTTTTCCATACTTTCATTTTTTGCCTTCTAGATAACTCAAGAAAACAATGCAAAATTAAAAGTGACATCTTGTTAAATATTCTCAAATGATTTTTACTGCTGTTGGAAGTAGATCAATATTTCTGACTTGATATTAAAAAAAACCAGATATATGTAACATGTTCATGTTATGCCTTTAACTGTTGTTAAGACTCAGGTAATAATTCTGAAATGTAAGAAAATAAATCTGCAGTGATCAGAGGGAATAAATTTATCCTTCCCACATACAATACTGCACACATGAGCACAGCATTGGTCCTGTGAATACAGGCTAACTTTCCTCACTCAGATAGCTCCATGAAAGCCCACGACTATTCTCTTGTGCCAAGTACTCTCTCAACTTGTCATCTACGTAAGCTCATTTCCAGTATTTGGCACTGCTGCTTTAAGGCACAGAGTACACGACTGCATATCATGTACACTTCTAGTGAAAAGCTGCATAAACCTTCTAGACACTCCTAATATGCAAAGCAAGAAAAATTATGTTAACGCAGGAGATGAGATGGCCAGAAGATGGTCAAAGTTCATCACAACAACTTTGAGGTCCTTGGGCTGAAGATGTCAAAGAAATGCTGCTTTTTTTTTTTTTAATTAAAAAATTAATTTAAGCAGTTTGCTATCTGATAGTTTAGGATGGTCAGAATCTATATTCCTTTTAAGTCAGATAACATCTGAAGCAGTTTTTCCTATCTGTTCCCTTTTCTCCTGCCATCACAGTCTTCATCCCTGTAACAAGTGAGCAGCTGCAGCCAAGATGGGCTCTTGTTCTCACTTCACCAGATGACTAATTAATCTTTTCTTTGAGTCTGCTCTGCCACTATAAGCAACTGTGCAATGCAAGGCAGCTGAGAGAAGGACTCATTTTTAGCTATGTCAGATAAGAGTAACCATCAGACTAATCATTTGCACTTTGGCTGAAAAATATGGTGAGCTTCACAGCAAAGTCAGAAAACAACCCAACCATACGTTGAATTTAAAATACCCACAAAATGTATTACTGTCCATTTTTAATAACTTTCATATTCAGTAGTTTCTGTAATTAAAAAAGATACCTTTAAACATTAGCAAAACGTAAATATAAAGGGAATTAGATCCAACCTTTGATCCATAGAGATACTGTGGCTGTGCATTAGGCTGCTTATCTCTCTGAAACTCCTGAGAAAACGGTAGCACGGTCCGAACAAATCTATAAAAACAAAATAAAGAATTAATTAATTAGGATAGCAGGTGTGTGCCTAATGCACCTTACCTGGTATAATACTGTTTTTGTCTACATATAAAATCAAAGCCAGACCAGCAGCCTTTCAGCCCAAGTTGCAACTGGGGAAGCACAATGCCTGCATTGTCTGAAAGCCTGGACACAAATCATAATGCACTTCTCCATCACTTACTGGTCTTAATTATTTCTCACCTCTACTCTCACCCAGCCCAGCACAAAGAGAAGCAACCAACAAACTAGAAATAGCCTCTCACAGAGAGCACGGAAGTTCCTTGTGCTTACAAAATTAAGTCCTTGAGAATGAACTACACCTTCAAAGAAGA